AAGCACAATAGTGAAAAGAAAATCTGAAAGGTTAAAAAATGTAATTTAAAATAAATCTCCCATTCAGAAAAAATATATGTACAAGGAATTCACAGAGCATTGACTGGAGGACAATTGCACTTTATGTCACTTCTGACATTTCTTTCTAAATTATAAGACAGAACATAAGTGGACTGAATCAGTAAATTCAATTTTTGAATCCTTTTCTTCTTGATTCAGTCCAGATCTCTCACTGTGTTGCATCACTTAGATTAAAAGCAGCATTGGTCTCCACATTCCAAACTTTAAGCCTAGCCTTCCAAATGTAAACTTATTACCTCAGATAAGTTTTCAGAGATTTCATATTTCCATGAAACATTTCAGCTTCTTCGCTAAAATTTTAATGTGCAAAATCGAATACTTCTGGTACAAAGACCACAGTGTAAAACTACAGGTCCCTATAAATTAAAAAGCTGAAACTATTTCAGTTAACAGTCCTTAGGAAGACTTTCAAATAATGAAGGGTTCATTGGTCACCTGGAACATACCTTCACATCTGGGAAGAGGATGATTCCAATTGCGGCTGATTCCATGAAGACAAGTCAGAGCTGAATTTCCAATTAATGTGTAGCCAGGAAAACACTCAAATGAAATAGTCTGTCCCACAGTGAAGTCATTTCCAATAACAAAACCATTCCGAAATGGTCGAGGATCAGGACAGCTTTGCAGCTGATATGCTGAAATAAGAAATAAAAAGAGGGAAAAAAATAAGTAAACCACAAATTCTAATTATTTCAAAAATAAAAGTTTTAATTAGAATAAACTTAATAATCATGGGTGTCCCATATGTCTGAAGTTCCATCATAGTGATGATCAAATCATTGACCCTGTACCTGGAGAAGTACAGTGAAACTAGCTAGGCTTCTGTGCTACTAAATAACATTTCTTTTTGTCACTTGAAGATGACAAGGATTTGATGTTTTTCCAATCCGATAGGAGTTTTCTGGGTCTTCATTCTTATGTTTGAGAGAAAGGAAAAAAATAATATGTCTACACTTTTATTTGATTTTCTCAGAAAAACTAAAGAGCTCTATAATGAACTATGAATTTCAAAGAATGTCTTGGTGATGTTTTCCAAGAAGATTTGAAGCACTGGCTTCTTATTACAGAACTGAGAAGAAATAAGCAGTGCACAGTCCGCAGTATCAGATTATCAGAGGTTGTATATGTTTGAAAGAAACATTTCTCTCTTATGTGATTAAAACTCAGGAACTTTACAATTCTGTGACAAATAACAGCATCTCCAAAATGATTACTATTAATAGCAGTAATAGCATAAGCTCTTAAGTCTGGCCTTCTTAGCAGTTTAAGTCATAAATTGACTTTATCTGTAAAAGCTAATACTTTTTACAGTGGCTCACTTCCAGAATGTTACAGAGTTCAAGTCAATTTGGACTTGTTACTATTAAAACAGTAATAGGAGACTGCTCTAAAGTAAAAACTATTTAAATCCTTCTTTGGTGTTATTCATGTAATGAGAGCAGGTCTAGTTTAAAATATACATTTGACCTTTTTCCGTGAACAGTGGTGATCTAATCCTTTTCACATGAATATGCAACTCTATAAATAGAATTATGATCTTGCAGACTTCATGAGCTCAGCATGACCTACTTGGGTGCAACAGAATAAGAACCTTTCAGGGAAATTGTGAACTAGGAAATGGATTTGGAGATTTCTGGGTTGGCATTAATTTCTCCTAGTCTACATCAAGCCAGTTCTGTAAAACAGTATTTAGATCATATCCTTCTAGAATACAATACACAAAATCCCCCAAAGCCCATAAAACCTTCAGAAGCCATATTGTTCTCACAAAAATATCCAAATCTCACCTTGATATACAATGTGAAATCCTTGTTTGTTCTGTGAGTAATCACTGTGAAAGTATAAGCTCGTTTCATGAGTTGTGCTGAACAGAGAGGCTGGGAGCTGAGGGCCACTTAGTCTTCCAATAACAGTGCTAGTTTCTGTAGATCCACTCCTAACTTCTAAGTAGTCATGTATGGTCTCCGTTGAGAAATTCAAAAATTGCAAATGGACACCTGAAAAACATTGTCAGTAAATAAAAGCCAACAGGAAGGAAATTGCATGTGTTACACTACCAGATACAGTCCTTGGAATTCAGTTTGAAGCATTGTTTTTCCATTACTAATTCTGAGATGCTGACAAGGTAAAAAACTGTTAATGTAATGAAATACTGACATAATCCAAGGCATCAAACCATAGGTTACATATATATTACTTTTTTGAAAACATTCTTTGTGTATTTAGAAGCATAGAATCATAGAATTTAGGGCAAATCTAAGTTCTGAATTTTGAATACATTCCATTTAGCTAAATCTTTCCTGTTCTCAATTGTATAACCTCCTTTTCTATTAAATGAAAAAATGCTTCCTGTGTATGCACCTAAAAAAAAAAAAAAAAAAAAAAGTGACAGACTTCTATCTCAGAGACAGCTCCACTGTAGTTGCACATAAACTGATCTCTCTCAGATTAAAATATTTATATACAAGAAATAATGAGGCACAATAAAAAAAATGCATCTTGTATGGATTATATGTATTGTAACAATATGTGGAAGTAGAGTATCTGCTCCTTCAAGGTTATCTGGTCACTGACCTTTTTCAATGGAGCAAGGAAAAATAACAAAAGGAGGAAGCCATGAACCAGAGCATACTGAGACACAAACTTGAAGGACAAACAATAAGTGAGGCAGTGATGAGAAAAGAGAATAAAAGGAATGGGTTGTATGTAAAATGGGGTTGGTCAGTATGTTTGTCTGGTTGAGCACCTGGTCATATTTGTCCTTTCATCTCATATCTTCTTATTAAATCTTTTCTTAGCTATCTATTCTATTTCTATCTATTCTATCTATTCTCACTCCTGTCTTTATGTGTGCTGCAAGGATTAGGTGCCAGATACTGGTGAGGCCTGAATTCGTGAGCAGAACTTGGTGGCTGTTACTGGAATCAGACCAGTGGTGGGGGTGCCTCCAGCCAGTGTGCCAACTACTTGAGGGAGTAAGAGGTCATAGCTCCCTGGATCTAGGGATGGTCCTACAGATCTTGTGCTTAGAATGTTAGCTAATGGAGGCACCAGTATGTGTGGACTGGGTGCCAGCTCCTGAAGTCAGAACAGGGGGTGTTTGTGCCTCTGGTCTGAAGTATTTGCAAGAAACTTCCAGATACTGGAGTGGGAACAGTGTGTTCTTGAAACCAACTACTGGCAGGACCAGTATTGGGGTAATGAAAAGCCCAGTGTTGGTAGCTATAATAGAGTCGTGAGGCTGTGGGTCACAGCCTTGTGCATGGTGCTGGCTGCTGAGGGGTGTTTATATCTTCCCCAGTCCTGGTGAGTGTAGGGATGCACACCCATCACCTGCATGCAAACTTTCAATTTGACTAGACAGTGAGTAGGAAGGCCTTGGGTCCAGCTCAGGGTATTGGGCTGGCAGAGTCCATGTTGGTACACCCAGGATTTGAAAAAGTGGAGTAGATAAGGGATGAGTGTGACTGCTGCACATTTGCAGTGAGCATCAGACTGGACTGTCTGGTGAGTAGGGGACCCATGAAGCACATAAGGGAGCCTGAGACTCAGAGGGTGGTGCAAGCAGATCCTCAAGGCATCCACAAATCTATGTGTGCTTGTCAACTTAGAGAATGTTGTGTGTGTGTCTTCTCTAGTGATCTTCTGTCTCTGCCAGCCCATGAGGAGGAGGGAACTTGGCTGCCTGTGTTTGTGTTTTAAGTAAGCCCTATAAGTAAGGGTTGTTGAAGGCAGTAACCTTCTCAGTGGTAGTGTGTGTTACCAGCCCCATCAGTGTCCCCTGGGTGTATTTGTCAGTGCTTAGCTTTGTTACTATTTGAACCTGCAAATGGTAAAGTGGCACGTGGTTGCCCCTCATCTCGGGCAGAGAGTCCAGAGGCAGGAGGATCCTCAGCTGGAGTGGCTGCAGGAGGTGGCTGCACTTATAACACGTCTTTCTAAGTCACTAAAAAAATGTAAATCATACTATCTAACAATCATTCAACAGTACCTCTCCCGTTAAACATGCAGTTCAATTATTTAATTCTCATGCACTGTGGCATATGATGGTCTTGGCAACAGAAATTTCTGATTATTTGGTTTAGTAAGGAACAGGAAGGCAGCTTACTGTCCATTAGCATGTTATCTCTCCTAACCAGGTGGAGTATTACAATGATTATGTGGTAGGAGGAGAAGAAAATGCTCAGCAGCCGAGTAGTTATAGGGTTTTAAACATTTCCTGTCTATACAAATTTCTATATGATCACAACAAAGTAGAATTTGTATTTTGTCAGGAACTAGTGCAGCTATGGAATGATAATGGAGTAGTTTCATTAGAGAGATGATTGAGCTCCACTGGTGTTTCTGGTAAAGACAAGCAACATGATTTCATATAAAATTGAAAGGAAAGGATATAATGCCAGATAAATTATGGAAAAGTAATGAATAATTTTGTAACTCCTAAACTGTAATAGCTAAATAGTGTTTGTCACTGTCTTTTAGAGCTGTCTCCCTAGATACCCTGTAAAGTTTGTGAATGGTTTTATGAAGCATGGAACATTTTACATGCTATTAGGAAAAAAAAACAAGATAGGTGCACAATTAAATTACTATTAACCTGATAATTTCTGTCTTTCTTTATCAGAAGACAGCCCATATGTGATAAGAAAGCTTTTGCTTGTAAGTGTCATTGTAAATGTCATAAGTTGCCCGCCTTCCAAATCTTTCCTACACAGAGAATCAAATTATATCCAAGCTTTTCTCTGTTTCTGTGATATTTGTAGGCTTGGCTTTCATTTGATTCTTGGAGCTAAACACTTGTCCAAAGTTTAAGCTGCCATTAATAAGTGCCAACTCTTGTGATCTTGCTGTCAGTTTTCTTCCTCTTTCACCGCTTTCTTTGATACCAGACCATGTCTAAAATACTTTTGCCCATTATTCTGCTCTCTGTACTCTACTGTCTTTCTCTACAAGTTCCTGAACCATAGCAATGTTCCCAAGTATTCATCCTTTGCTCAGCCTGTAGCACCTGTCTCTATTTGTCTGAGACTTCTTGTTGAACTGATTTTTTTCTCTGACTGTTTGCAGTTTGGACACCCCTCTTGAAAGAGTATTTAAAATCTGTGTATATACAAATATATTTGTATATGTAAATCAACATGGTTTAGATTACACTGTTAGCTGACATACAGTGGAAAAGCTTATGATCTGTAAGTAATAACTGAGAAAAAAATATTCTTAGAAACAGTTAAACAAGTGAAAGTCTATAGGAGCTTCCCCTGATGGTGTTATTGCGTTTTTTTATTTACTGCTCAGAAGAGTTGGATTTAAGTTCCCCCGCTGGACTAGAATCACAGCATCACTAAAACCAGTTTTAGCCATCACTTCTTCAAATGTCACATTTTTTTCTTTTTTAAATGAAATTTTACTTTAATTTTCATAGAATCATAGAATCATAGAATAGATTGGGTTGGAAAAGACCTCCAAGATCACCAAATCCAACCCCTGATCCAACTCCAATTACTATATCATGGTACTAAGGGCCACATCCAATCTCTGCTTAAAAACCTCCAGGGATGGTGAATCCACCACCTCTCTGGGTAGGCCGTTCCAATGCCTGATTACCCTCTCTGTAAAGAATTTCTTCCTAACATCTAACCTAAACCTCCCTTGGCAGAGCTTGAGCCCATGTCCCCTTGTCCTGTTGTTGGTTGCCTGGGAGAAGAGATCAACCCCCACCTGGCTATAACCTCCCTTCAGGTAGTTGAAGAGAGTGATGAGGTCACCTCTAAGCCTTCTCTTCTCCAGACTAAACAACCCCAGCTCCCTCAGCCTCTCCTCATAGGACTTGTGCTCAAGTCCCTTCACCAGCCTCGTTGCTCTTCTCTGGACCCGCTCCAGCACCTCA